AATTTTGTGAGTATGGCCATCTTCACAATGTTGGTTCATCCTATCCAGGAGCATGGAATATCTTTCCATTTTGTGAAATCCTCTGAGATTTCTTTTTTAATAGTACTGTAATTTTCTTTGAAAACATCTTTGACTTATTTAGATTAATTTCATGGTATGTCATTTTCCTTGATGCTATTGTAAAAGGTACGCTTTGTATAATTTCCCTCTCAGTGTGTTATCTGTGTGGAGGAATGCTATTGACTTTTGGGTATTGACTTTATAACCTGCTATGCTACTGAATTTCTGTATTAATTCTAATAGCTTCTTTTTTTTTTCTAGTAGTTTCTTAGTGGAGTTTTTTGGGTCTTCCAAGAAAAGTATCATGTGATCTGCAAATAATGATAATTTAACTTCTTCTTTACCTATTCTTATTCCTCTTATTTCTTTCTCTTGTCTAATGGCTCTAGCTAATGATTCCAGAACTATATTGAATAGGAGTGGTGACAGCAGGCATCCTTGTCTTGTACCAGATCTAAGAGTAAAAGATGTCAGTAGTTCCCCATTTAGAATTATCTTAGCTTTTGGGTTTTCATAAATGGTTTTTACCAGATTGAAGTAGAGTCCATCTATTTCAATTTTCTGTAGGACTTTGAGCATGAATGAGTGTTGGACTTTGTCAAAAGCCTTTTCTGCATCAATGAAGATGATCATGTGGTTTTTAGTTTTTGCTCTCTAGATATAGTGTATTACATTGATACATTTTTGAATATTGAACCATCCTTGTATCCCTGGGATGAATCTTACCTGGTCATGGTGTATGATCTCCTTGATGATTTGCTGTATTCTATTTGCTAGGATTTTATTGAGGATTCTTGCATCTATGTTCATGAGGGAGACTGGCCTGTAGTTTTCTTTCTTAGTTGTGTCTTTCCCTGGTTTTGGTATCAGTATAATACTTGCCTCCAGGAATGATTTGGGGAGGATTGCTTCCTTTTCAATTTTTTGGAAGAGTTTGAGGAGTATAGGGACTACATCTTCTGTAAATTTCTTGTAGAATTCAGCTGTGAATCCATCTGGACCTGGACTATTCTTCATCAGTAGGTTTTTTGTTACATCTCATATTTCATTGGCTGTTATTGGGTTAATGAGAGTAGTTATATCTTGTCGATTCAGTTGTGGTTATTTGTACCTTTCTAGGAATCTGTCCATTTCTTCTGTGTGTTCTATTCTATGAGAATAAAGATTCTCAAAGTAGCTATTGATAATCTTTTGAATTACCACTGGGTCTGTGGTAATAACATCCTTTCCATTCCTTATTGCTTGTATTTGAATTTTTTCTTTCCTTTTTTTGATGAGGGTAGCTAGGAGCTTATCGATTTTATTTAATCTTTCAAAGATTTTATTTAATCTTTCACAGCTTTTTGCT